CTTGTCAGTGTTAACGCTACAATCACGCAGTAAGATTTTTTGATAAAGGCTTTGACAAAAACGTCATGCAATGGTACAATGAGCTAGAAAGTGATAATAGTGATACTGAAGCCAAGGCAAGTGTTTATATAGCAAGTGATCACAGTACATCTGAAATAGAACTATAGTGATAACGACTATATACCAAATAATCTGAATGTTGATGGAAGTGAAGTTATTAATTCGAGCAGTGAAGAAGAAGAAAAATAAGATCAAAAACGCGCAAAAAAAATTATTTCTATGGAAAAAATAGATGTAAATGGAGTATGGATGAACCTACGTCACTGTCGCATCCAGTTCTGGATATCTGCAGTGCAAATTCCTATATTTTGTACTCCTCATTTCTAGACAACAATGAAACACGTTTTAATTTTGTAAAAAATATGCCAGTCAACTGGTAGAAGGTCATATGCGCAATAGATTACAAACGTCCAACATACCACGCGAACTGAAATGTTCAATACATCGCATTTTGGACATTCTGGAAGTAGCATTTCCGGTTAGAGAAGGCCGCTTGTAAACGAAAAAATATTGCTACATATGCCATTCCAGAATAAGAAGAAAAACAGCATTCACGTGCGCGAAGTGCCATAAACACATATGCCTTCAATGTTCACGTAAATGCACTAAGGTGCCATATCCAAACGCTTGAGATAATACAAAAAAGATTTTTAAAACTTATGTTGTCGAAAGAATATCGATACTCAAGTGACCTATTATATGCCGAAAGTCAAATCATGGATCTTAGGCAAATATACTTCTACTGCATGGCTCAAAAATATCAACTTAATACTAAACATGCTAACTTACCTTCTCACTCCTATCAAACTCGCAATAGAAATCTCCATATCGTGCCACAAGTAAGTAAATCACTTAGTCAACGATCTTATACCTATCTTGCTCCTAAGATACATAATGAACTACCAGAATCAATAAAAACAATTAAATGTAAAATTAAAATGAAAAAAAGCCTTAAAAAATTTATTTTAGAAAATCCACGACAAAAATTTAAAGATATAATAGAATGTAGAAATACTTAACTTGCGTCTGTTTCTAGTCTCAGCTTTAGTTTTTTGAATTAATTGTTTTTTTTTAACACTCAATAATATAGATTTTTGTTGTCACGTTTTCCCTTAAATTCACTTTAATCTTCTAATTATAAAAATGGATCAATTAAATTTCTCTTATATATTAATATATTTATCCTATTTTATTTATTCTAATTTTAGTTAATTTAGTTTTAGTTATTTGTATATTTTAATCTTGTGTTTTTTTATCTTTACAACATTAATGTTTTTAAATAATAATTTATTGTACTTTTTTTTAAGTTTCATGTATTATAATCGAAACAAGTGAGTACTCACTTATCGAGTGTACCTTTATTCATTCAATTACTTTTAATTTTTAAGCTACCATTTGTATTTTTATAACTATATATTTTTTGATGAATAAACTATTACTACTTGCTGTGTCGCTTTAGATGATTGAGATTGTCTAACCCTTGCTGGTTTTTTCAGTTTATATATTTCAGCTCTGTTTTTTGTTGTGACATTTAGTTATATAACTTAGTCATATTGTAAAAAAATTATTTTGATTTTGTTATTACTCTTAAGAATATTACACGCTTTATTTACACTTTTGTGATAATCCATCTATAAATTGACACATTTTAACAACTTATAACTTGAGAATTAAAAAAGATATCGAGATGCAGTTTTCACTAGACCTTTTACATTTACTTCAAGTTTTTCTTGACATTGTTGCCACATGTAATTTTTTTCTGGAAAGTGCCGAAAAAAAAACGAACTTTTTTGAACCAAAATTGTGAGCTTATTTTAAATAGAACACCCTATAATTTTTAACATCCTCGGAAAGACCATTTCTTCCCCTTTCCAAAAATGTATACATTGTAAGCATTTACTTTAGTTTTTAGGGAAACATTCAATTTTTTATGCAACCATGTCAATAACTTCCAAACGTAAAGTATCACAATTAATTAACTTATAATTTGGGAGTAAGGCAATGTACTGATAAAAGGTTTACACCAAAATTCTTGGAAATGTTTAAATTTTTTTCTGACATAGTTGCCAAATCTTAAACTTGTAAAGTTTTCGTAAAAAAAAAATTAAATTCAGATTAAGGTCTTATGGCGAATGAAACATTTTGTATCTCTCATAGTCATTAGATAGTTTATTTCTTCGCCTTTTGAAAAAAGTCAATTTTGTATAATTTTTTTATTGCTTTAATATGTTTTAATTTTAGGTAATTAAATCAATGTTAACGGTGTCTATTACATTTTGGTGGCACATATCGAAATATAAATTGACGTTTTACATCGAACGATCATTGATAAGATACTGTTTTTCTTATACTTATTTTACTTATAAAGACAGAGGGGAGCACCTCATACCACACGGATTTTTGTGACGTAAGTGGTATCCCACCATGTTGGTACCTATCTCAATTTTTATTGAATACAAAAAATATGTACTAAAACATTAATAAATTAATTGTTGAATATGGCCTCCATTTTGTTCAATACATGTATGCAGACGCATTAAAAAATTTGTAAATGCATTTTGCAGCATTTCTGGGGTAATTGTATTAAACACATGAATTATATTATTCCTCAGTTCAGTTAAGTTTGTAGGTGTTGGATCGTAGCATCTTTCCTTAACATAACCTCATATAAAAAAATCTGGTATAGTTAAATCCGGAGAATATGGAGCCCATTCGATGGGACCAGCCCGACCTATCCATTTATCTCCAAAGGTTGAGTTCAAAGAATTCCTGGCTACAAGAGAGTAACGCGGTGGAGCACCATCTTGCTGGAAATATACAGTATTTAGTATTTCTTCTTGTTCTAGTTGGGGATAAAAGAATAGTTCTAGCATATCCGTGGAATTGTTTCCATATACTGTTTCCTCTTGAAAGAAAAATGGTCCATGAATTTTGGTTTTGGACACACCACACCATACATTTACCTTAGGAGCATCTCTTTCAAACTCGTTGAAAGCTCTAGGATTTTCGTCACCCCAAATCCTCCAATTGTGTTTGTTTACGCGTCCACTTAAATGAAACGTTGCTTCATGTGACATTATTAGATTTACATTTGGTTGATGTCTAAATAAATTTAATAACGTCTCAAACATAAAAACTCTCTTTTCAAATGCATGATTTTCAATTTTATGAAAAGTCTGAACCTTATATGCTTTAAACTTGATTACTTTTAAAATTTTATGCACCTTACTCTTTGACATATGTATGAATTCGGCAATTTTTCTAATAGATATTTTATTATTGTTTCTTGCTAAAATTTCCCTTATCTGTATAACATCATTTAAAATAATATCTGGAGCGTTTTCAATTTGTCTTTTTTTTCTATCTAATGTTCCCGTTTCTTTAAACTGACTTACCCAGTTTAAAATAGAATTTCTGGTTGGCGAATTTTTTTCAAACATATTTCTAAATCTTTTGTGTTTGTGTAATTGATCTACTTTCAATATAAAGTAAAACGCACCGGGCTTTTTCACTTTTAGTAAACATTTTTTAATACCTGCTTCCTCTTGCACTAATTAATAATACAAATATAGACTTCTGTCAACTCGATTTGTTTTACATAGCACCCTTGATAAATTAGTAGTATCACTTATTGACTCATTCATATTCTATCCAAAGCTGAGTAAGTTAATTTACAAAAAGAGGAATATTAAATAGACAAAAAAAAACAGATATAAGTACATATTGAAAACGCTTAAGACATTCTTTTAAATGATGATTTATGGATAAAGGCTTGCAAATAAACGTTACAAATACGAAGAATTTTATTCATTATTTTAGACATTTGAGACTTTACAACCATTTTATAAAAAAAATAAACATTTCCCAGAATTTTAGTCAAAACCTCTTATCAATAAATTGTCACATTATCGAGTTAAAGGCTTTTAAATTGTGATACTTTACGTTTAGAAGTTATCGACATGGTTTCATAAAAAAGTTAATTTCGCCCAAAAAAATTGAATAAATGCTTACAATGAATACATTTTTGGAAAGGGAAAGAAATGGTCTTTCCGAGGATGTTAAAAATTATAGGGTGTTCTATTTAAAATGAGCCCACAATTTTGATTCAAAAAACTTCGTTTTTTTTCGGCACTTTCCAGAAAAAATTACATGTGACAACAATGTCAAGAAAAACTTGAAGTAAATGTAAAAGGTCTAGTGAAAACTGCATCTCGATATCTTTTTCCGTTTTCGAGTTATAAGTTGTTAAAATGTGTCAATTTATAGATGGATTGTTCCAATATCATATTTTGTTTTTTAATGCCTTTAAAGTTACTTTGTAATCACTTTTTGTGGAATGTGTGTAATAAAATTTAAAACGAAGGTACATGGTTTAATTATATGAAATACAAAGTAGCAAAAGCGATTAATAATTTTGAAAAATAAATTTTTCAATTCGGAGTCTGTGAGACTCCGTGTCAGTATCTGTGTCCTAAAATTAGGTGTCCGTAGTTAAGGGTTAAGTTACATTCCGGAGTTCTAAATTCACGATTTTGTTTAATTTAAGTCTTTATAAACTAAACAATGTGGCCCTGGTTACTATATCTTCATTCATACTTATAAATAATAAAATAGTTAAATTTATTATAATATTTTACACAGATATCATGAATATTCTGCGCACCAAAAAATACATATGCCTGGAATATCCTTATAGAATATAGATTATGAAATATATTCTGTGTATATATTATAAATATTGCAATATATTTTGGTAAATTGGCAGATTGATGGCATATGTCAGGGATATCGTGTGCTGTCTGGGATCATACACTGAACTGAAATAATCAGCGACCTCCCTTTGCAGTGATTTTTATACACTATTTTGTAAGGATACCCTAGATAATGAAAAATTTGTCACTAGCTATTTATCTGTTAATAAAGACCCTATCGCCAAAATTAAAAAAAAAAATAGATCGACATTATTTGTAATTCTCCAGACCTCCTTTTTTAACCCTTCGCGTTTATCATGTAAATGCATAATAAACCAGACGATGTCAGTCTAAAAATTTTCCATAGCGACACGAATTTACATAAATTCGATCGGTTTCTAACTACTCTAGCGTGACCGAGTCAACAGAAATAACATTTCAACCCCCCAGTTGGTGTCCAGCATTTTCCAAACCACACAATAACGAGTAAGTACTCTATATTCTAATGATAAATCTAAAGAATAACTTTGAAAATAAATGTAATTTCCATTAAAGTAGATTTTATTATAATTTAACTAAAATAACTACATTAAAAATCATTATTTTGTTATAAATATAGTGTTATCTTTCACTTTATTAGCACAAGCTTTTTGATTAGTAATAAAAAGCTTAATTTGAGGTAGGTTTGTCAATATTTCCGAAATAATATTTACCCAAACCGCTATATTGAATTTGATAAACATCTTAATAATTTAATATAGATTTGCCACTGACTATGGAGTGTAATTTAAACAATCGATATTTTTAGAGGCAATAAACTTTCGTGGCTTGAATCGATTTATGAATTATTTGGATATTAATAGAAATATGTTATGGTAGCGGTTGGAAAGCTACTGTTACAAATATTTTCACATACATCCGTTTGTATATTTATGCACATATTTTAATATTGATGAAAAACAAGTTATGAGTTGTTTTCCATTTTTTATAGAACATTGGAAGCAGCCATGGATACTGAAACGGGGGAAATGATAGTTAAAAGAGTCAGCGTACCTATAGGTTTAGAAGAACTAATGGAAGGTTTAGTAAAAGAAGTTTTATTGAAAAAACCCGACGATATTTATCAATTTGCAGCTAAATATTTTGCTCATCTACTTACAATAAGGGAGAAAGTTCCTGTTAGTAAAAGTAATAGAAAACCATTTTTTAATGCAACAAAAATTCCTTTAATCAATATTATTTTCAGCAAAAACTATACGGACTGTCCAATCGTTGAAAGAGAAACCCGAAAGGCCACCTCTTCATACCAGAACATCAAAATTATCAAAACAATTTAGTATCAGAGCAGATTCTCCAATAGAATCACCGATTATATCTCATAAACCGAAACTGCATAACAGAAATGAACTAAAGCATAATAAAAGGAGACATACTGGACCCTCAACTGTATTACCAAACAATCAACAATTGACTATAAGAAGAAAATACGCTAGAAGTGTGTCAGGTGATACTCAGAAACCTGTGATAGAGTCTAACAACAATAAAAACAAAGTTAATACTATTAGAGAAAGATCTGTTGAATCAGCTGATAGAAATCATAAGACAATGAAGCAAAAATACGAAAATAATAATAATACCATTAAGTTACCAATACTCACAGAAAATATAACGAAACTTGTAGAAAATAATAACAATAACAATGAAAAAGATGATGTTATTGTAGTTAAAACTGAATCAACAAATAACACAAATCAAAATAAAGAACAAATTACTGTATCTGAATTGTCAAATATTGAAATTAAAGATGCTGATATTGATGTCAAAGAAGAAAACAAAATTGTAAAGAAGAGAAGCACTAAATCTCCTAAAGAAGTACCCAATACTCTTGGTAAAGATAAAGATACTAGTGAGGAAGAACATTCACAAAAAGATGACAACAAAGTTATTGCTACTAAAGAAGAAGATAATTTAAAAATAAATGGCTCTACCCATTTGGAAAATAACAGTGCTACAATTGATACAAAAGAAGTTATTGATGAAGATAAATTAAGAAAAAGTGAAGAAGAAAATAATTTACAGAAAGATTCATCTACTAAAGTCGGAAACCAATCGGAAAATTTGCTTGAAATTACAGATACTTCTGCAAAAGAAAATTTTCAAAAGAATGGTAATAAAGTTTTGGATAATGATAATAGAGGCGAAGAAATTAATCAAAATAACAAAATTATCAAAAAAGAATCGAGTACTTTAAGTGAATCTGGAAATATTCCTGCTGAAGATGAACTTAATAATAAAAAAACTAATTATTTACAAAAATCAGACTCGTATAAATTGGCAATTAATGACAATATGGGTATAGGAAAAAAACATACATTACAGTCTGGTAGAACCTTTGATGATGAAGAAATTAGTAGAGTCCTGCTTTCAAGCATTTCAAACACAGAAAATGAAACAACAAGTAGTACAGTTGACTTAAATGATATAGAAAAAGGTATGACTAAAAGAAATTCTGCTGTTAATGAAGTAATAGAAACCAAACTAGTTATTAATGAGGTAAAAATTGAAGAAAAAGAAACTCCGATAAATATCGAGAATTCTAAAAATAGAAAAGAAGGGAAAGAAGGCAAAACAGTAAGAAGTGATGCAACAGTTGAAGATGTGAAAAAATCTGAAGGAGAACTAAGTGACGATAGTTTAGAGTTTGTTGAAGAAAAGGTCGAAGCAGCTACTGAAAAAAGTCACAACTTGTTGGTAACACAAATCTCCTCTAAAGAAAATGAAACTGGAAAAATGGAGGATAACAAAATTGACGAAATTACAGAAGGTAATACTAAACCTAAAAGTATATCTACAAATGTACAACTTATAGATGAAAGCATAAAAAAACAAAATGATAAATTGACGGAAATCAAAACGTTAACAAAAGTTGAACAACTGGAAGAAAAACAAGATACTACTACTCATCAGCTTAGATATGAAAATATTAACGAATTAAGCAACAACAAATTAGGAAAAGAAGAAACTGAAACAGAAGATGTATCTAAAATTGCTGAATCTAAAACTACACTACCTATAGACAAAGATAAAAGTGAATCAGCTGAAGAGAAATTATTCAGAGATACTATGAATGAAGACAATGTCTCTATAAGTGATCAGAAAACAGATCTTGATGTACCAAGTTTAGAAACTGATAATAACAGTCTAATAAAATCTTTCGATATTAAAGAAATCGATACCAACGAGAAGTTTGATTTAAAACATAATTTTACAGAATCGCCTGAATCATCTGCTGATGTAAAAACTGACCTAAAAGTGGATTCGATAAAAGAGAAAGTAGCAACTGATAAAAGAGTATTAAACGAAGAAAAAGATGATACTACTAAAAAAGTAAATGACGAACTTACAAGGACGACTAGTTTTGACAGTTCTAAGTTGCGTGAAGAGCTTAAACAAATTGAAGATGAATCAAAACATATTAAAAATGATGAACTAAATGGTGATAGTCGCGAAAAACATGATGAAATTAATATTGTTGATTCAAATAACGTAGGCAATGAGAAAGAAAACTTAAACGAAACTAACAACAAAAATATTTTTGAAAAAATGTCTACTTTTGATGTTAAAGATTCTAGAAATAATGGTAAATCAGCTAAAAATAAATTTGAGAAAATGTCAACTGTAGATATTGGATTCTTAGAAAATATAAAAAATGAAGTCAATAGTAAAGATGTAACTATAAAACAGCTAGAACAACCTGGTGCAGATAATTTAGAAAAATCAGAAATTGATATAGAAAATTCTGATAATAAAATTGAATCAACATTGGAAGAAAGAGTTACTAAAGAAAATATAAGAAAGTTACAAGATAGTGTCGTAGTAAATAAAAATATAGAAGAAGAGAAGATAACATCAAATATGGATGAAGCTAAAGATGAAGGACATATCAATAAACTAGATAATACTGATGACAAAGAAAATGAAAATAAAAATATGTCTACTGAAAAGAATATAAAAACTATAGAAACAAGCATCAATAAGGATAAAGCAAACTCATTGTCAGATAAAAATGAAGATAAAGAAATTACAAATGTGGAAAAACAAATGGAAAGCAAAGCTAATATATCCAATAATAGAGAATATGCTGATAAATATGAGGATTTAAAAACAGATGATGCTCAAAGTGATCAAGAAGTTTCTATAATTACAAATAAAATATTAGATGAACCAACTGATGAAGTAACTGAGAAAACAAAAGAAATATTACAGTCTGATAATGTAGACAATAAAAACGTTGGTGAGACAAAAATAATGAATGCAAAAATAAATAAAAATAAATCTATTGAAAATGAAACTATTAATAATAAACAATTTAATTCACTGGAAGTTGAAGAAATAAAAAAAGAAACAGACAAATCAGCTAATAAAGTAGATATTGATAATAAAGCAAGGACACCAAAGGCGCAAGAAAATAAGTCAGAAATTCAGAAAAAAGAAAATGAAGTTGCAGAAAAAATTGAAGACAATAATGATAAAAACAAAGAACATACTAAACAAAGTCAATCGTTGGTATCATCTGATAAGGTATCTGAAAAAACTGAAGAAATATTGCAATCTAATAAAATAATGGATGCAGAAATAAATAAAGATAAATCTATTGAAAATGAAACTATTATTAATAATGATAAACAAATAAAATTATTGGAAATTGAGGAAATAAAAAACAAAACAAACAAATTAGTGGATAGCGTAGATGAAGATAATTATGAAGACAATAATAAAACAACCACACCAAAGGAAAAAGAAAGTAAGTCAGAAATTCAGAAAAAAGAAAATGAAGCTGCAGATAAAATTGAAGAAAATAATACTAAAAAGAAAGAACATATTATTCAAAGTGACTCATTGGTATCAACTAAAGAAGTATCTGGGAAAACTGAAGAAACATTGCATTCTAATAAAATAGATAATAAAAATGTTGGCGAAACAAAAATAATGGATGCAGCAATTAATAAAAATAAATCTTTTGAAAAGGAAACTATTATTAATAATATTAAACAAATAAAATCATTGGAAATTGAAGAAATAAAAAACGAAACAAACAAATCAGTGAACAATGTAGATAGTGATAATTTTGAAGATAATAATGAAAAAACCACACCAAAGGCACAAGAAAGTACGTCAGAAATTCATAAAAAAGAAAATGAAGCTACAGATAAAATTGAAGAAAATAATACTAAAAATAAAGAACATATTCAAAGTAACTCAGTGGTATCAACTGATGAAGTATCTGGGAAAACTGAAGAAATATTGCAATCTAATAAAATAGATAATGAAAGCATTGGTGAAACAAAAATAATTATTGATGCAGCAATTAATAAAAATAAATCTTTTGAAAATGAAACTATTATTAATAATATTAAAGAAATAAAAAACAAAACAAACAAATCAGCAAATAATGTAGATGGTGATAATTATGAAGATAACAATAAAACAACCACACCAAAGGCAGAAGAAAGTAAGTCAGAAATTCAGAAAAAAGAAAATAAGGCTACAGATAAAATTGAAGAAAATAATGCTAAAAATAAAGAACATATTATTGAAAGTAACTCACTGATATCAACTGATAACGTATCTGGAAAAACTGAAGAACTATTGCAGTCTAATATAATAGATAATGAAAACATTGGTGAAACAAAAATAATTGATGCAGCAATTAATAAAAATAAATCTACTGAAAATGAAACTATTAATAATAAAGAAACAAAATCATTTAAAATTGAAGAAATGAAAAACAAATCATCGAATAATGTAGATGTTGATAATTATGAAGATAACAATAAAACAACCACACCAAAGGCAGAAGAAAGTAAGTCAGAAATTCAGAAAAAAGAAAATGAAGCTACAGATAAAATGGAAGAAAATAATGCAAAAAACAAAGAACATACAAATCAAAGTAAATTATTGGAACCAAGTGATAAAGTATCTGAGGAAACTGAAGAAACATTACAATCTAATAAAATAGATAATGAAAACATTGCTGAAACAAAAATAATTGATGCAGAAATTAATAAAAATAAATCAAATGAAAATGAAAATATTAATAGTAAACAAATAGAATCAACAGATATTAAAGAAATCAAAAACGAAACAGATAAATCAGCTAATAATCTAGATGTTAATAATTATGACAATAACAAAACAAAAACACTTAAGACTCAAGAAAGTAATTTAGAAAATGATAAAAATAAAGATACAAATAAAACAGAAGAAAATAATGAAAAACATAAAGATCTTATTGACCAAAGCAAATCACTAGAACTTGACAACAAAATATTATTGTCTGATAATAAAGAAGAAAAAGATAAATATATAAATAATACTGAAAATAATCTTCCAACTAAAGAACTAGTTTCTATTAAAGATGACATTACTGACACTCTTACCCGATCAAAAAGAGGAGTATCTTTCGAAGATGTTCCAACTAGCAGTGACGCAAATATAATTGTTAATAAAAATACCACAATACTAGGCAAAAAAGATGAAGATTCAGATAGTAAACCAAATTCAATAACAGAAAATCATCTAGTAGATAGAGTAGCCAAAAATTACGTCAATTACGTAATCGAAAATGATCGATTTTTATTAACAGATAGTGATGTATCAGCTATCGATGAAGTCGACCTTGAAACTGCAGATAACGAAACTGAAAATAGTACAGAACCAAAATCAGATGAATTAAACATAGAAACTAGTGATAACAGTAATATCGACAGTCCAAAAAATAATAAAGAAAGTTTGGAATTTGAAAAAGACATGAACTTAAATAAAAATGATAAAGATTCTAAAGAAGATAGTAGTGGAAAGAATGAAGATATTAAAATTGCAGCCAAACTGATCAAACAAACTGGTTTAGATAAAAGTTCAACAGAAGAAATAGATGAAAAAGTTGATAATAAAAAAGAAAATAATGAAGATATAAAAGCTGTAATGAAATCTAAAGATCAAAGTGGTTTAAACGAAGGGGGAACAGAAAAAGTAGATAAAAAAGGTAATAAAAATGAAGATATTAAAACTTTAATAAATGAAATAGGTACAAAGGAAGATCACAAAGTGGAAAATGATAAAGGTAAAGACATTTCTGCCAATGAAATGAAAGATGATGATACTGATAGAAATGTACTCATCAAAAATACTGCAGAAAATTTAATCAATTCTACATTATCAATAGCACAAACAGGTCTCATTGAGCACAAAGTAAAGAAATTTTTAAACGAATTCATTGATAGAGAGAAAGGTAATACACCAACTGAAGCTGTTGAACAAAAAACAGAGAAGAAATCTGCATCTCTACTAGGTAAAGAAAATAGTAAATCTTTCAACAAAACCAAAAGTTCTGATAATATATCCACCCGACCAGTGAATGGACTAAAAAAGACAACTAGCTTTGACAGTTCAAAACTGCGCGAAGAACTGAAGAAAATCGAAGATGAATCCAAGTTTACCAGTTTCAAAAGTAGCTTCAATCCTTTTTTGCTTCATAAAGAAATAGAAAATAATACAGGTAATAATGAATTGGTTATAACATCTATGAACTTTAAAAAAATTGTTGATGCTGTTTTAACAATTCAAAGAGCATGGAGAAGATTTAAAAATAAAAAAGATACACCTGCAGAAAAACCTTTAATAAAATCAAATTCAGAAGACAAAGGAGATTTTTTGCAAGCAACGCAAGCTGCTGTAGTTATTCAAAGAATATGGAAGGGGTTTAAAGCTAGAAAACATTTAAAATCTTTAAAAGTTGGTGATGCTACAACATCAGTACATCAGAAGTTCAACAGTTCTACTTCAGAAACTAAAGATAATTTAGACAAAACAACTCTTGAGGTATTATAAATTTAATATTATTTTCTAAATAATACTAAAGCGTTCATATTTTTTAGAGCAATACCGAAAATCACCAGTCAACAGGAGATGAAAATGCTGCACCAGAATCAGAAGAAAGAAGACTTTTCAGCGCAGAATCAACAGGTTCAGTAAATACAGTAATCTTCAACGATCCAAAAGAAGAAAAAACCAACCAATTTCACGATCATTACTCCAGTAACGTAAACCTGCTTTTGGATGAAATTCTGGATTACCCCACCGTAGAAGAAGAATTATTATTAGATAATTATCAAAGCAAATTACTAGACAAAATTTCCGGCAAAGAAGAAGAAAATAGATATGACGATATCAAAGCGTACGAAAAAATCGTTTCTCCCAAACGTTTCCAAGATTTAGAACAACTGAAAGACGAAATACATTTACCACTTGTAACGAAAACCATACAAAATGAGAAAAATTTGACTACAGAAAGAAAATTGCCTCGATCTCTCAGTTCCAAATTAGAAATCTTGGAAGAGGAAAGTTCTACAGCAGAAGATGAAGCAGATAATCAAGAAACTAAGGATGATAAAGGAGATATTGATAAAAATAAGGATACAGATAAATTGTACACGTTTTGTTCTGAACCCACTACTATACCAGGCGAGAAAAAAATTGATGGAAAACCATTATCTGATTGTGTAGAAACAGTCCCATCAAATATTGTTAGTACAAATGATAAAAAAACTGATATTAAAGATTCAAAAGAAAATGCCAGTAATGAGGAAAGTAAGGAAATAAATAAACCTTTTAATACTAGAGAAGTTCATGAAACGTTAGTCATACCTTTACCCACTGAAGTTAAAAACAAATTGAAGAATGGAGGAAAAGAAGAAAAAATCAGCACCGAACCAAGTTTGGATGATATTTCCTCTATACTATCGAACGCTGGTTTAGACAGTGGAGAAATACATGATACAGTGGTTGTACCAATCAACGAGCAACACAATGACACCGGTAGAAGGCAACCCGTATCTGTTCAGTTATGCCAGACTTCAGGTCAAGTATTTCTTATAATAGTAAGTAAATATCGCACTTCATCAATTACATATAGATTTTTACCAAACATAGTTGCATTATAGATAGAAAACATTGATTTTGCATTTAGTTTTTAAGCATATTTTTAAAATCGTTTAATAATAATTTTGATAATTGCTGGTTTCGGTCTACCTTTATCCTTATTTTATATTTTATAGCACCCTATTACTTACCCAAGTTATATTCTAATTCATTCCGCATAGTTAATTGGTGAGACCAATTTAGAATGATTTGGTAACTATTCGAGGAACCCAATTTTTAAACTCTCATTTGGTAGATAAGTTGGAACTTTTCATGAGCTCATGAAGAAAAATTTATTTTTTATAATTTTTGGAATCTGTTCGATTCCGGTCAAGTTATTTACGTTGGAATACGGATATCTCATGGATAGATACTGTTTTCTGTTTTATTTAGTTTTTGTCCAGTTATTAATTTCATCACCAGCAAAAACTATTCTGTACCTTAAAGCAACAAGGGACAATCTCTAAATTTATTTATGAGTTTACATATTTGGACGTGATTTGAAAAACAATTTAAATAGCATAAAGGACTTCATACAGGGATTGGTTTTGCGTATACAAATATTTAAAAAAAGACCAATGTGAACTTACCTGAAGTGGAGTTCGATCTTAATTATATCAAACGCCTTATTCGAGACACACCAAATCCCAGAGATATCCACAGAATATCTTTTGTGGATATCCAATATATCCACAGGATATCAGAAATATCCCGTGGATCTAATATGGATATCCAAATGTCCGTCTATATCCAGAATATAGAAGATATCATATGGATATCCAGCAAAATATCTAATGAGTATCTTCCAGACAATACAAGATATCCTAGAGATATCCACAGAATATATTCTGTGGATATCCAACCAAATGTCCGTCTATATCCCAGGATATAGAAGAATTCGTATATTCACCAAAATATTTTATAGGTATCTTTAGTAGAGGTTCATAAGTAACCAATGATTATTGAATAAAGTCAAAAGAAAATAGCAGAGATAAAAAATATTTTCAACACTCTGCCTTTGATTTTGCCCACTAAGGAGAAAGTTATCCTTATTAGGACTCTTCAGCAATAAATGGAAATTCTCGACTCCAGTCTCTAATGGAATCTGATTGTGAAACAAATTTCGATCGAACTGAATTACGGCAGGTTGAGCATGAGTAGATACGAAAGTAGTATCGCCATATACACCGTGTCCCACGTAAGGCGGGCATTACAACTTTATGGAGAATAAATTAATTTGTATTTTCGCCATTTTCTGAGTATACACAATCGAATATGCTCTTTTGAATTAAAATAAAATGAACTCTGTGCCACTTCCGGTTATACCGGAAGTGACCACTAACTTCGTTATTTTAAAGGGAATACCCCATATTTTTTTTTTTTAGATTCAGCATGAAATTCTGTAAACAACGATAATCCATTTGCCTATTCTAGTTATAGCGGATTTGGCGTTATTCAATTTTTTTCTACATTTTTAGTCGCCGGTAGACATTTTCTTAAAGTCGTCTATCTCAGGTACTATATCTATCAGATACTTAAAATTTTAACCAGAGGTAGTAGATGGGATGTACTTCTTAAGAATATTTAGTTATTCATTATTTGTTGTAAATTATTTTTAAAAATGAAATTTTTTAAACATAAAAAACTTTTTTATTTTAAATTGAACACCCTATATATTTTTTAAATTTTAGATTCAGCATGAAATTCTGTAAACAATGATACCCCATTCGCCTATTCTAATTATAGTGTATTTGGCGTTATTCAGTTTTTTATAAACTTTTATATGCCGGCAGACATTTGCTTTTTTAAATTTACTTGTACATCGTTTGTTTGACTGTGTGTTTGGAAATTATTTTAAAAAATAAATATTTTAAACATGAAAATTTTTTTTATTTTAAATGGAAAATCCTGTATATTTTTATTTCATTTTGTTCAGAAAATTATTCTTCATTGATCTTCATTTGCACTATTAATTCCCTATAATTATCTCTCGCCAATTTTAAGAAAATTTAAATTTAAATTTTACGCATGCACCTACATAATATAGCATAGTTTTACATTTTAATTTTTTATCTTAGTATGCCGTGGAAATATGCTAAACAACAATCTGTCAACAAACTGAATTGTCATATTTCTATGTATTTAAGTTGTGTATTTTTTGCGTTCAAAATATGGAAAATATTGAAGAATATACCAACCAAGATATTCTTAATTTATTTTACATTCATGGCGAATGTAATCGAATCAAAAGTAGAACCTGCCGCATGTTTAATGAACGATACCCTCATTTACCACCAATGAACAGACAGAAATTTGATAGAATCGAAGCTAACTTTTTGAATAATTTTAATCAAAACCCGGGAAGAAACCGTCAACATTATGTCCGAGATGAAGAAGTTAATCTAATTAACGTATTAGGGTATTTTACTGCGTATCCTCACGCCTCCATTAGAATGGCTCAAGATAATTTAAATATTAGTCGAGGGTCAATACAACGAATTTTAGCACTAAATAAATGGCATCCCTATGCACAAACAAAAGTTCATGAGTTGCGAGATGGTGATCAAATAAGACGAACTGAATTATGCGAATGGTTATTGGTACGAATTCAAGAAGATCCCGAGATTTTAAACAAAATTTTGTGGTCAGACGAGTCGAAATTTACACGTAAAGGGATCATCAATCGCAAGCAATGTCATTTCTGGGCAAACGAAAATCCACATTTTTATCGTGAAGCACAATTTCAGTACGAATTTAGTTTTAATGTGTTTGCAGTGATCGGTTTTGGAAGAGCTTTTTATTACATTTATAATGAAAGACTGACCTCAGAAAGATACATTAGAATTCTTAGAGAAGTAGTTGCCGACATTTTAAACCAGCTACCAAATAATAATTTTTGGTACCAGTTGGATGGTGCCCCAGCACATTCAACATACAGTGTAAATCAAGAAATTATAGCACTCTTTGAAGACCGATGGATAGGTCCAAATGGTCCTTGGCTTTGGCCTGCAAGATCGCCAGATCTAACTCCTGTTGATTTTTTTTATGGGGTCATATTAAAAATTTAGTGTACTCTACCCAAATTAATACTAAATAAGAATTAGAGCAAAGAGTTCGGAATGCCTTTAACGAGTTAGATGGTGAAATGATTCGTAAAGCAACAACTAATCATGTTGAAAAAAGATTGTTAAAATGTTTAGAAGCTAACGGGGAGCATTTTGAACATTTGATAAAATGATTTTTTTAAACCATGTGCTTTTAATAAAAATTGTTTTTAGTTAGTATGTACCTTACCATTAAAAAAATTTAAACCTTTTAAACGACATATTTTGTTGCAGAAAACTGTAAATGTTTTTAAAAGTACATCCCATCTACTACTTCTGGCTAAAATTTCAAGTATCCAACAGAAATAGTACCTGAGACAGTCGACTTTAAAAAATGCCTACCGGCGCGACGACTAAAAATTAAAAAAAAATGAATAACGCCAAATCTGCTATAATTAGAATAGGCAAATATGGTATCATTGTTTACAGAATTTCATGTTGAATCCTAAATTTAAAAAATATATAGGGTGTTCCCTTTAAAATAAAAAAGTTTTTTATGTTTAAAAAATTTCATTTTTAAAAATAATTTGCAAACACCCCGTACAACAAATAATGAATAACTAAATATTCTTAAGAAGTACATCCCATCTACTACCTCTGGTTAAAATTTTACGTATCTGATAGATATAGCACCTGAGATAGACGACTTTAAGAAAATGTCTACCGGCGACTAAAAATGTTGAAAAAAATTGAATAACGCCAAATCCGCTATAACTAGAATACGCAAATGGGGAATCGTTGTTTACAGAATTTCATGCTGAATCTAAAATTAAAAAAAAAAATGGGGTATTCCCTTTAAAATAATGAAGTTAGTGGTCACTTCCGTTATAACCGGAAGTTGCACAGAATTTATTTTATTTTAATTCAAAAGAGCATATTCGATTATGTATACTCAGAAAATGGCGAAAATACAAATTAATTTATTCTCCATAAAGTTGTAATGCCCGCCTTACGTGGGACACGGTGTATACTTAGTAAGCAAAATCAAAAATTACATCTAGTGAATATTCACGATGGTTTGCGTTCGCGCCTAGAGTTTGATATATTTAGTGGATGTCCATGGGATATTGAATACACCTTAAAAAAATTAATTTTAAATATCTGAACGGTACAATTAGCCACAATGGCGAGCACAATGGCGTAATTTTTTAATAATTTGCTATATAATTACTATTATTTATAGACATTTGCATGTCTATAAATTACAGCTCATGGATATAAAATAGATATCCACCATGGACTGGACATTCAGTGGATATTGGGATGTTCAGTAGATATACAAAGGATTTGGTGTGCTGTCTGGGTATTGAATACACAACAAATAACAAGCTGGAGCCTTTCTTCTTCTAGCCCTTTTTGTTGACATCCTTTTATAAAATCACTCCACAACACAACTCAACACATTGACAACTGAACTCGGGTGTTTCACAGAAATAATTCATATTCTGTAGAAACATATCTGAGATAAATGTCACATAAAACAAACATATCACGAGATCTTAGTTTCCTTGTGGACACCTACCTTTAGAGTTTAGAATATTATGTATTTCTTGTATCTCAATGTAATTGATAAAATATGTTGTAATTTTTATATCTACTAAACTACCGTTGCCCCGCAGGTCTTTCAGTTTGTAATGTAAATTTTGTAGAAAACATTTTAAGTTATTACAAGCTTGTATAGTATAAGGTTGTCTATCTAACAAGATAATTTTGGGTAATATTATCTTAATTATTATTCTTGATAAACAAAAAATAGATAATTTATCTTCTTTCGAATATATAAAAAAGTTATATATACCATATTTTAAGAGAGTTGATAGTCGTTGCTGACTAGTT